TGATGATTCTAGGCCACATTGCTAGAACTCTCTCTGATACATGGACTGCGCTAGATTAAACTGAGAAGGGTCATAGCATGTGCATATTGTTGTCCTACTGTTAGTTTTACTGCTTCTTTTGTTCTCATTTGTAAGTCGCTTTGGATAAAAGCCTCTGCTAAATCAATAAATGTTTATGTATATAAAACCATGTGAGTGGGCAGTATTATTTGTTCTCTCCTCATCTCCATCACTCTTCCTTTTTCTCTCTGTCTCCTTATCTGTTACCTGTCTCTTCCCCTCCTTTGACTTATAGTCTTTTGATTTTCATCTGTGGGACAACTGATATTTACCCTATTTAGCCTTTATGTATATATGCTTATATTTGCCTGTGTGATGTCACAGATCCTGCAATATCCAAACGAGATGTTTTTGGAGGTTGATTAAATAAATGCTTTGTTTATAATGAGAAGGATTGTTTTAAGCTCTGAAACTTGCAGGATGTTTTAATGGCACAAATACCTCTAATGGCGCTTTTCCACCGCACGGTTCGGTACGGCACGCTTTGGCGCATTTCCACCGCACGGTACGGCACGGTTCGGTACGACATGCTTTGGCTCTTTTCCACCGTATGGTACGGTACGGTACGGTACGGCTCGGTACGGCTCACTTGTGGCGCTTTTCCACCGCACGGTACGGTACGGCATGCTTTGGCGCTTTTCCACCGTATGGTACGGTACGGTACGGCTCACTTTAAATGGTACCACCTCTCGAGGTTCCAAGCGTACAGTACTGATACTAAAATGTGACGTGAACACACTGCAGATCACTGATTGGTCAGACAGAATCTTCACTACCAACGTCATTGTATTTGCGAGACATCAAACCCGCTAGATTTAAATAGCCAGTAACAGCCACCGCTGTAGCGCCTGTTTTAAAACTACTTGCTTGACTTGCTTGAAGAAAAAAGAAAGAAAGAAAACTTCCAAAAAAGTAATGGCTTAATCGTGGTCAGTGGACGAAGTGCAGACGTTCCTCTCGTTGGTTGCCGAGGAGCGGACAAACTATAACAGTCAGACTATAATCCCACACACTTTGAAGCGGTACTAACTGCAGTGGAAAAGCGAACCGAGCTAAAGCGAACCGAGCCGTGCCGAGCCGAGCCGAGTCGTACCACGCAGGGGAAAAGCGAACCGAGCTAAAGCGAACCGAGCCGTGCCGAGCCGAGTCGTACCACGCAGGGGAAAAGCGAACCGAGCTAAAGCGAACCGAGCCGTGCCGAGCCGAGTCGTACCACGCAGTGGAAAAGCGAACCGAGCTAAAGCGAACCGAGCTGTGCCGAGCCGAGTCGTACCACGCAGTGGAAAAGCGAACCGAGCTAAAGCAAACCGAGCCGTGCCGAGCCGAGTCGTACCACGCAGTGGAAAAGCGAACCGAGCTAAAGCGAACCGAGCTAAAGCGAACCGAGCCGAGCCGAGTCGTACCACGCAGTGGAAAAGCGAACCGAGCTAAAGCAAACCGAGCCGTGCCGAGCCGAGTCGTACCACGCAGTGGAAAAGAGAACTGAGCTAAAGCGAACCGAGTCGTGCCGAGCCGTGCCGAGTCGTACCACGCAGGGGAAAAGCGAACCGAGCTAAAGCGAACCGAGCCGTGCCGAGCCGAGTCGTACCACGCAGTGGAAAAGCGAACCGAGCTAAAGCGAACCGAGCTAAAGCGAACCGAGCCGTGCCGAGCCGTGCCGAGCCGAGTCGTACCACGCAGTGGAAAAGCGAACCGAGCTAAAGCGAACCGAGCCGTGACGAGCCGAGCCGAGTCGTACCACGCAGTGGAAAAGCGAACCGAGCTAAAGCGAACCGAGCTAAAGCGAACCGAGCCGGGCCGAGCCGAGCCGAGTCGTACCACGCAGGGGAAAAGTGAACCGAGCTAAAGCGAACCGAGCCGTGCCGAGCCGAGTCGTACCACGCAGTGGAAAAGCGAACCGAGCTAAAGCGAACCGAGCCGTGCCGAGCCGTGCCGAGCCGAGCCGAGTCGTACCACGCAGTGGAAAAGCGAACCGAGCTAAAGCGAACCGAGCCGTGACGAGCCGAGTCGTACCACGCAGTGGAAAAGCGAACCGAGCTAAAGCGAACCGAGCTAAAGGGAACCGAGCCGTGCCGAGCCGTGCCGAGCCGAGTCGTACCACGCAGTGGAAAAGCGAACCGAGCTAAAGCGAACCGAGCCGTGCCAAGCCGAGCCGAGTCGTACCACGCAGTGGAAAAGCGAACCGAGCTAAAGCGAACCGAGCCGTGCCGAGCCGTGCCGAGCCGTGCCGAGCCGAGCCGAGCCGTGCCGAGCCGTGCCGAGCCGAGCCGAGTCGTACCACGCAGTGGAAAAGCGAACCGAGCTAAAGCGAACCGAGCCGTGACGAGCCGAGCCGAGTCGTACCACGCAGTGGAAAAGCGAACCGAGCTAAAGCGAACCGAGCCGTGCCGAGCCGTGCCGAGTCGTACCACGCAGTGGAAAAGCAAAGCGAGCTAAAGCGAACCGAGCCGTGCCGAGCCGAGCCGAGTCGTACCACGCAGTGGAAAAGCGAACCGAGCTAAAGCGAACCGAGCCGTGACGAGCCGAGCCGAGTCGTACCACGCAGTGGAAAAGCGAACCGAGCTAAAGCGAACCGAGCCGTGCCGAGCCGAGCCGAGTCGTACCACGCAGTGGAAAAGCAAAGCGAGCTAAAGCGAACCGAGCCGTGACGAGCCGAGCCGAGTCGTACCATGCAGTGGAAAAGCGAACCAAGCTAAAGCGAACCGAGCCGTGCCGAGCCGTGCCGAGCCGAGCCGAGTCGTACCACGCAGTGGAAAAGCGAAGCGAGCTAAAGCGAACCGAGCCGTGACGAGCCGTGCCGAGTCGTACCACGCAGTGGAAAAGCAAAGCGAGCTAAAGCGAACCGAGCCGTGCCGAGCCGAGCCGAGTCGTACCACGCAGTGGAAAAGCGAACCGAGCTAAAGCGAACCGAGCCGTGACGAGCCGAGCCGAGTCGTACCACGCAGTGGAAAAGCGAACCGAGCTAAAGCGAACCGAGCCGTGCCGAGCCGAGCCGAGTCGTACCACGCAGTGGAAAAGCAAAGCGAGCTAAAGCGAACCGAGCCGTGACGAGCCGAGCCGAGTCGTACCATGCAGTGGAAAAGCGAACCAAGCTAAAGCGAACCGAGCCGTGCCGAGCCGTGCCGAGCCGAGCCGAGTCGTACCACGCAGTGGAAAAGCGAAGCGAGCTAAAGCGAACCGAGCCGTGACGAGCCGAGCCGAGTCGTACCACGCAGTGGAAAAGCAAAGCGAGCTAAAGCGAACCGAGCCGTGACGAGCCGAGCCGAGTCGTACCATGCAGTGGAAAAGCGAACCAAGCTAAAGCGAACCGAGCCGTGCCGAGCCGTGCCGAGCCGAGCCGAGTCGTACCACGCAGTGGAAAAGCGAAGCGAGCTAAAGCGAACCGAGCCGTGCCGAGCCGAGCCGAGTCGTACCACGCAGGGGAAAAGCGAACCGAGCTAAAGCGAACCGAGCCGTGACGAGCCGAGCCGAGTCGTACCACGCAGGGGAAAAGCGAACCGAGCTAAAGTGAACCGAGCCGAGTCGTACCACGCAGTGGAAAAGCGAACCGAGCTAAAGCGAACCGAGCTAAAGCGAACCGAGCCGGGCCGAGCCGAGCCGAGTCGTACCACGCAGGGGAAAAGCGAACCGAGCTAAAGCGAACCGAGCCGTGCCGAGCCGAGTCGTACCACGCAGTGGAAAAGCGAACCGAGCTAAAGCGAACCGAGCCGTGCCGAGCCGAGTCGTACCACGCAGTGGAAAAGCGAACCGAGCTAAAGCGAACCGAGCCGTGCCGAGCCGAGCCGTGCCGAGCCGAGCCGTGCCGAGCCGAGCCGAGTCGTACCACGCAGTGGAAAAGCGAACCGAGCTAAAGCGAACCGAGCCGAGCCGAGCCGAGTCGTACCACGCAGGGGAAAAGCGAACCGAGCTAAAGCGAACCGAGCCGTGCCGAGCCGAGTCGTACCACGCAGTGGAAAAGCGAACCGAGCTAAAGCGAACCGAGCCGTGCCGAGCCGAGCCGTGCCGAGCCGTGCCGAGCCGTGCCGAGCCGTGCCGAGCCGAGTCGTACCACGCAGTGGAAAAGCGAACCGAGCTAAAGCGAACCGAGCCGTGCCGAGCCGAGCCGTGCCGAGCCGAGCCGTGCCGAGCCGTGCCGAGTCGTACCACGCAGTGGAAAAGCGAAGCGAGCTAAAGCGAACCGAGCTAAAGCGAACCGAGCCGTGCCGAGCCGTGCCGAGCCGTGCCGAGCCGAGTCGTACCACGCAGTGGAAAAGCGAAGCGAGCTAAAGCGAACCGAGCCGAGCCGTGCCGTGCCGAGTCGTACCACGCAGGGGAAAAGCGAACCGAGCCGAGCCGTGCCAAGCTGAACCGTACCAGCAGTGGAAAAGTACCAAAATATGTCAAAAGACCAAGCAAATTTTATTTGCCATGTCATGACCCCTTTCAGAAAATAAATAAGGTGCATTTTGAGTTCATGTTTATTAAGCTTATCCCTGCTCACTTTTGGAGAGGGTGCAATCAAACAGTCAAAACTATTTTTTAATGAAAAGTAACTAGACCTATTTAGAAAATATACGTTTTAACGTATTACTAATGCTAATACCCAGCTAACAGGGAAGGTTCCCATAACTTTCACTAACGTTATGTAAAAGTTATGTACATGTTAGTAAAAAAAAAAAACATAAAAAAATAACGTTTTTCAAAATTATTGAATGGAATTTTCCTTTAACGTTCACAAGAAAAAACGTTCTTAATACATTAAAAAATACATTTTCAACGTTTAAAAAACATTCAGAAATAACGTTTTCATAACCTAATGGGAATGTTAGCAAAACAATCTAAGAACGTATTTTTATTGGCTGGGAATGATGTCTGAGGTTATGTTGGGTAATGTCACTCTCTATTTTAGTGGTCTATATTTACAGGTCAGCATAGTCACATGCTGTGAGTAAATGTCTTGTAAGTCAGCATATACCTACTGGTTTGCGTGTGGGCGTGAGTTGCACGGAGTGGTAAAACTCAGGTTGGACTCTCTTCTTCACCCTCCTCTTCCTCACGCTCGCGCTCGAGTCAGGCTCGCTCTCGACCAGCGGCTTCTCCTCAGACACGCGCGCGCGCGCGCTTCGCCTCGCATGACGTGGACTGTGACGACATACCTGTCAAACAATGACCATAATATCACTGCATGTCGACTCTGAGTTTTGTTGTATGGTATGACAATGACGATAATTGTTTTTAATGTTTTTTTTTTTCGTTTATTTTCTTCAAGCATTTAGCTTAATAAAAAAATTAAAAAAAAGGTTCAGGAAAAACAAATCACTGCATATCACAAAAACTATGAAATAGTTTATTAAATAGTCCATATCCTAAAATGTTAACATTTCTCTCAATTTAAAAAAAAATATATATATATTTACTTCTTGGTAACATGACATGTTTAGGCCTATATATAAAAAGTAGCACATAGTTATTTTACGGTCACACATGCGCAATGCGCATTTCACGCAGTTTCTTAGGATACAATTTCTCCATCAAGATGAAAGTGACTAGATATCTATCAAACAAAAGGGAACATTTAATGACAAGCTCGTTATTTTTTGAAGGATTTGCTCTACTTTTCTGCTTTCTATGACCTTGACAGATGGAGCAAGAGAAAGAGATTTACCTCAGAGCGAAAATGATGCGGCCGGAAACCAGCTTCTAGAACAAATGGGAATGATTGAAACAAACCCCACATGCATTCAGTCACATTGTGTCTTAGAGATGCTCTTCAAATAACTTTGTCTGGTCTTGAAATAAAGCACACTTTATTAAGTACACAACAACAACAAATGATGAAAAATTAAGGCTCGCGCACTCGCATGCCGCACTCGCGCGCATTGACGACAGGCTCTTTTTAAACCCATACGAAGCGAAGAATGAATGTAAATGTCTAATAAATACTGAGATTGTGCATGCATGTTATCGCAATGACATGCTAGAGAAACACGTATATATAGGGTGGACATATAATGCGACGCGTCTACTCACCACGACTCCTTGAACGCCTCGTTAGCACAGATTTTATGGGAATTTTCTCATTACGGAGTTTCCGATGCCAGCAACAGAGGAACAGAATCGTGGCGACAGTTCCTAGCAAAAGCAATAGCAGCAATAATACACACTGAATACTTAAGGGTCTCAATAAGACCAAAAAAGCCGCAGCAATCATTGCGATGTAGGACAGCCACTCCTACACGTATAGCTTCCTCTCCTTATGTAAATACTATGAAAGGCTATTTCATGCTGTGATGCCTCACTTGTAGGTCCCCGACATATAATCTATCTCATGGTGTCTGTACTTCAGTAATGGACCACAACAAGCCATGACTCAGCAGGAGCCGCTGTTTTTACAGCTCATGCAGGGCATCAGCATCAGCATCAGCATCTGAGCTCAGCAAAGCTCAACAACACAGCGCCTCTGCGACTCCTGCTACACCAACATCTGCATGCATCTGCAAATGCCCACGTGATGTGTCTTTATACACTCTTAACAAATAAAGGGTATTTATTGGCACGAGGTTCCACCAATCTTTAACACCCATGGAACCGTTCCATGGATTGAAAGTCCGTTGGATTTTCAGGTAAGGATTTTTTTATAGTGACTTTTTAAAATGTTCTTCAAACTAAGAAAAATTGGTATTTTAAAGGTGTCATGTCATGGAGTATTATTTTTAATTATTTTAATGTTTAAACTTATATAATGTAAATAAAGCCTTTTGCACATTTCTTTTAAATATTATATATATTATATATTTGGATGTATATATATGCAGAAAATTCTGACCCTCTGTCTGAAATTATCCGTTTTAATGCGCGGCTCCTTTAAGGCTTGTTAGTGAAGGCCATTGCTATGATTGGCTAAAGTCATTGCATTGGAAACTGTCCCTGTCAAAAATGGCACCCTAAGAACTCGTGGTCTTCCTAGAAGTCTGCACTTTCGTGACGTGGCGCTTTGACTGTCACTGTCGGGAAGAAGTCTGGAGCGGAGCTCTCATCAGTGCTCACAAAGTGTGCATTGAGGGCGCCCTTCTGAGACCTAAAATGACAAATGGGACACCCTACGGTCTCATGGACTTAACGGACACATGCACGCAGAAGCAATTGTAAGTCCACAAGACTAAAAGTCCATGTGAAGTGTGCCAAATCGCCCCTACACCCTTAAATATGGCACTATTTGAAGGGACTGTCGTTTGTAGTGGTGTCCGAAACCATAGTGGACGGGTTACCGAGTGCACTCATTCAATCCCACAATACACCGCAATAACGAGTGTACAACTGATGTGTGCTTAACAGCTGAAAAAAACCCATAATGCACTGAGTCGCGCACTGAATGAATTCCCGCGTCTGACCATAAGATGGCGCCACATCTGAATCAATCATCAATCATCCATCCATTTTCCCAACCACGCTGGTCCAGCGTAATATTATATAGGTATACATTCCTTTTTAATTGATTATTGAATTGTTTAATTAAGGTTTATACATGCAAGTTTCCATGAGTTGCAAGTTTGCTATGTTTCAATTAATCATTAAACAGCAAGTATGCAAAAGCGGTTGACCTTCCGGTGCACGCGGTGTCTGAATTCACTAATTTCTTTTATTTCTCTCCTTCAACTATTAGTGGAGTAATAGGGAATAGTGGATGAGGGTATAGGGAGCGATTTCGAACACAGCAAGTGTATAGGCCAATCTGAACAGTGGGCTAGACGGTGTGATGATGTACAACTATTGGTGGATGTCTTGCGCTGGAGGCGGACATATGCAAATGTGTTTGCCTGTGTGACGTCACAAACACTCATATATCCATTTTTGGAGCTTGATTAAATACATGCTTTGTTTATAATAATGGTATGATGTATGCCAGATATATCTTATATTTCAAAAGATCAAGCAAATTTGATTGCCATGTCGTGACCCCTTTAAGAACTGTTGACTGAAAGGTTCTTTGCGGAACCCAAAATGGTTCTTCTATTGAATCACTGTAAAATAATAATAATAATAATAATAAAAAAAAATAAAAAACTTTTGGAACCTTTATTTGACAAACATTAGCATTTGAATAAAATTAGCTTTTTATGCATGTATATTTTTATTTATTTATTTATTTATTTATTTTTCCTTATTTTTTTGCTGTTCGGGTTTGTTTCAATAAAAAATTCAATAAAAAATTCAATAAAGATACAGTATGTTATACAAAAATTGGCTTTGTGGTGAATTCTTTCATTCAGCTTCATGAAGCTGCATGTGGACTTAATTAACACGTTCATTACTAGGACATCTTGAACTATTTTTATTTTTAGTGATTACTCTTCAGCAGACATGTGATTTATCAAAGCCATCAGAATCAGATTCAATGGCAGCGTAACATAAAAATCAGCAATATTGTTTATTAGGCTGCACTGACACTATTGGATGAGAACTGAGCTGAACGATGACATCACTGTTTTCTGCAGTGCATTTAGCTGAATTACAACTAATTTCATATTTAATGATCTTTACCCATGCTATCGAACTGAACTGAATCCGCTGAACAATGACAATATTGTCATTTTAGAGCCTTTTAAGTTACAGCATAACTGAACTTTGCATCATTGAATCATAATTTTCCTGAAAAAATTACTAGAAATACAGTGAAGATGTTTCAAACATTACAGCATAGCATTTTAGTACCTTGTACAATAACATTTTAATGTTATGCTGCTTTATACATTAATTATAAATGGATTCAAGGGCCTACTTGTTAAAAAAAATCATGTCCAACTCCAAAAGATTTTACTGTAAAAATAAGCTATAAGTTTGGCCTTGAGTAATATAATATTAATTTTCACTGTACGGGGAAAATTATACATATTAATGAAAAAATATTTAAAAAATGACGTGTTTTTTATATATTAAATAAGGAACATATATTTTCTGTGTTAGCCATAAATTACTGTGGGACACAGGGGAACCTGGAAAAAATGGCACAATAGTTTCAATGTTACATTTTATTATTATTATTATTATTAAAATATAAACAATAACACGCGTTCACTTGCACGTTGGATGACTTTTATTTTGACAACGTTTCTTCCTTTGACGTCATGACGCTCATTTCCTAACTGCTCTGCTCAGTTTAGCTAATGTTTTGCTAATGTTTTGCTAACTTTGAGACGAGCCAGCATTAGAAACGGTAATAATTTTGCCTTTACAGTGAATTGTTTGTAAGTATTATCGCTGCAGAACTTATTGTTTGATGAGACTTTCTCCCATTCTCTTGTCGACGAGTAAGTTAGTTGAGATTCATGCAAGCTGTTTGCAGGATCGAGAACTCGTTTTCCAATACTAAATACACTTTTAATGACGTAAATTAATTCAGTGCTAGTTACAACATTAAGACGTAACTTACGCAATAATGTATGCATGCAGCACTGAAAAGGCATTTTATATCGCTGTGTTTTGATTCGCAGTGATTGATGTAATGCTCCACCGAGCACAGATGTGATGATGTCTGCCTCTACAGTCATTGAAGATGTGGAGGATGATGTGGAGTTTGTGTCTGTAAGTGTCACTGCCTTGATGTCTAATTTGAGTTATTAGGACAGTTGTGTGGATCTGGGTCTTCTTCTCACTTGAGTGTGTATAGTAAAGCACACTGATTTGAGCATGGTGTTTCAGGAGGGCCCTCTCAGACCAGTGCTGGAGTGCATAGATCTGCTGAGTGACGGAGAGGATGAAGGAGGCATTTCAGCCGCAGACACCGTGAGTTTCTTCACACGCCGTCTAGAATATAAAACTTAAAGGTTTAGGGAAGTTGTTCATCATTTGAGCACCGCCATGTTGTTCCACAACACAAAAAACACATTTGGCAGAATGTCCAGGCTGCTCTTTTCCATCATGTTTCATACAGCCGGTCTCCGATAGCTTTGTGCGAGGTACAGGCTGAGATTTAAGTCTTTATTTTCTGATTTGTATTGTAGCGTTGTGGTGCTTTTGTAACTTAAAGACCCACTGAAGTGCCTTGAAACACGCAGCATTATTCAATGTGTTGACGTAATTTCCCCTGAAACAGGAAGAAGGGGCGGGGCATATCGAACAGCTCCTCCCCTTTTTTTAAACAGCAAATAGCGTTTAGTTTATATCACCGCTCAGAGCTGTTGAGTTCATTAAAGCTGCAGTTTCCTCCTGATCTCTAAATGTTTCTCCTCCTAATCTCCTTCATATCTCTTTATAATACAGCATTCTGTGCAGAAATCTGTTCTGCGACTCGATCACATGATCCGCTCTGTGTGCCGTGTCTCTGAACACTAACGTGACACTAACGTGAAACCAGACTTCATTCGTGCCAATGGAAAGCATATAAATCGTTCCCTTATCCCCAATATAGTGCACTATATGATATTCACCATGTAGAATATAGTAAATATGTGAACAAGTGACTGATTTCAGCCGCAGCTTCAGCAACTGTTTATAATAAGGGGGCGGAGCTTCAGATTCTAGAGAGCATTTGATTGGACAGGAAATCTAATGAGAAGCTGAAATGTAGAGTGATGTCATCAAAATCATTGATCCATATTTGCAGATATTAGGAATATTACGCTTATATCTTTAAAATACGAATTTTGTCATTGTTTTGGAGCACACTCGCTTATAGATAACAGTAAGACTAAGATATTCATACTAAAAGCCAAAAAACGTCACTTTTGATTTCATGGGGACTTTAACCTGTTAAGCTTCAAGCCCATTTTTGAAAAATCCCCAGATATGGCATTCCCAAACTGAAACAGATACAGTTCATGAACCCTTTGTACTAAAAGCACAAGTAAGATCTCATTTGAAAGCTGACACCTGGAAGTTTATTGTAAATGTAGAATTAATTATTGTCATAATGAAAAAAAATAGTTATAAATAGCTTCAAAGTTTTGTAAAGTTATTATACATTTATTTGTATGAAACATCTTCATGAAAATAAAATTGAAGTTGGCATTGTAGCAATCTAGAAATGCACTGCAGCTAAAGCCACATGTCTAACCATGTTATATTTAAAATCTGAAGATGATAAGTCTAAAACTCTGTATTTAGTTCAATGTTTTTCAAGATCATGTCATATGACTTTATTTTGATTAGACTGGTGTTTATTGTCATCTTATAAGCATCTATTCAGTCTATTGCCTCTATTGTTTTGTGATGCAAAAACGAGTCCCATTCAGTCTCAGGCTCCCCTGCACATATTCACACCTCTCCAGCCTGTTTATTGCTCTAAATATGCTTTTCTTTTGTCTGCATTATAATCACTAACGACTAGCAATTCACACTGTTTCAATCCCTCATTTATTTTATAAAAGTTCTCACTTCACAGTGAAACTGTATCAAATGCCCTTTTTGAAAAACGAAACATTTCAGTAAGCATTCTTATTTAGAAAAAAAATCATAAAAATTACATCGAAGTTAGGTAGCAGGTGCTCAGTACTAGCTAGCATGTTAGCTTAGCACACCCTCAATACACGACAATTTATGAGAATAAAACTATGTTTGTGCTCCAACTTACTTTATAGCGCAAGTCGAGTGTTTTAAATAACTTTCTGTAATCTGATTTGGCTTCAGATAAAAAAATCAGATAGAAAATATATTATTTTATTGTATTCTGCACAATTTGAAAGTCTATCTCGATTAGCATTACATTATACATATAATCTATTATTATGAAAATACCTGACATGACTCGAAGAACACAGGTAAATCAAATATCATTGCAATCATGTTTATTGTCTTCAAAACATCTTTATCTGCACTTTACAGCGATCTCGGATAGCTTTGTTTATGAATCACGACTTCCTGAATGTCACATGATTATGGCTCTTCTTCATGTGATCCATATATGGACTTTACTGTGCAACAGCGCCCCAGACTTCAGTATGAATGGATAACACAGTAAATCAGAGTATACAGCGCTCAAAATGATTACATCGACGCATTTGGGTATAAATTCAATAAATATTATTCCTGTCTATAGAAGTCTGATGTAAACCTATGAGAATCTATCAATATTTCTCCAAATCTGCACATGTTTGAGCTAAAAGCCCTGAGGGACGTTGTTTTGTGAATGCTGTCATGACGATCGCACGGGAGTTTTTTTCTGAATGAGAGCAGCTGACGCTCATAATTCATATTAAAGGTAACGACTCATTTTTTTATTTCATAACTCCTGACACAAATTAAGACATAACTGTCACTATAAGTTTCACAGAATACAATAGTGGTCAAATACTGAAACTTGAGTCTTATATCGTTTTAATGATGTATAGTTTGTCAAGTTAATCACATTAAATATGATAGTTACTTTGAACTATTTAAAAAAAAAACGCTTCAGAGCGCCCACGCACTGGTGACGGTTAACAGGTTAAAGCTGGCGTGAAATGGAAGTTGCGATCTTTTTTTCTTCTGTATATTCTCTATATTGTGACGTACAGGGAAATTGCCTTTGGAACAAGAACAAAAGTAGGGCGGGGCTTGATTTTGTCTGTGGGGAATTGATTGGATGATTGGATGGTTGTGGTTTGCTATTGGTGGATCTCATGTGAGTGACAGGTTGCCCCGCCCACAACATATGTAAATGTTGTTTTGCCTTCCACAGAATAAAAAAAAACTCATGTGAGGTTTGAAATGACATGAGGCAGAGTAAATCAGGGCTGGCCAATCCTGTTCATGGAGATCAACTCGTCAGAGTTCACATCCAACCCACCTCGAGTGCTCCCGAAGGTCTTCATCAGCGGCTTCAGGCGTGTTTGATCAGGGTTGAGCTGAGCTTTGCATGCTGGGAGATTTCCAGGAACTAGATTGAGCACCTATGCAAATACAGGGATGGGTAGATTACTTTTTTTTTGTAGTTAAATTGAAGTTGGTTACTGATTCTGAGATACTGAATCAATCTGAGTTAACTTTATTTGCCAAGTATGCAAAACACACAAGGAATTTGTCACTGGTATAAGGCGTCCCACACGTATATGCAATGTATTATAATAGTTGCAGAGGCCAAATACAGTGCTTAGCAGACAACAACAACAAGAAGTGTTAAACATAATAACAGTGCACTTAATTGTGGTACTACACAAGAGGGAGAGAAAATAGAAATACATGTGTGTAAATTAGAGCTACTGGAAAAAATAAATAAAGAAGCTATTCTGAAATCTGGCAGTTTTCGTTACGCCTTTCAGAAAGTAAAAGTCTGAAACGACAATACACATTTAAGGTTTATGTAATCAGACTACTTTTAGATTACTTTTGACCGAACTCATTTATCACATTGATTTGAATAGGATGATCTCGTACCATATTGATATAAAAATACAAAGAGAAAGAAAATATATTCTGGTTTATTTTATTAAAAACATGAAGTGCATTAAATATGATCTTACATCAGGATTTCATGAGTTTAATGAAAAGCTTTTAAGTAATTAAATCATGAAAATTAAAATTAAAAACAAAAATTAAACGCTTACTAAAAAGATTTTTTTAAAAATGTGTTTACCTGCATCATGTCATGTGACCATTAATCGACATCAGAGAACAATTAACTTAATTTTATTATTATATCATGGACTTAATTTTATTAATGACCTAACTTAATTACTTAAAGTCCCCCTGAAGTCAATCATTGTATCCCTTAAAACTCATCTTTGATCACCAAAATGACATATTTAAAGGGACACTGTGTAGGTTTTTAGGTATTTTATTATCTGAAATCAATATTTTTATTCTTAAATATGTCCTCAATGGTGTACAAATACCTCTGCAAATTATCTGACTTATCCTCGTAAATTAAGAATTTATTATCTTTATGTACATGGGACGGGTAGGTTCACGGAGGCTTCCATGTCGTTCCGCCATCTTGAAAAACTATAATAGCAGAGAGGGTCAAAAAGTACCAACCAAACGCGTTTCCACAACGCGTTTTCGTTCAGAGCCAGCGTCATGTAACTGAAAGCAGCAGAACCGGAGGAGCAGAGCTGAGAGGCGCTGGTCACTGCCCCGGCAAGTTTAAAAGGCTGCATTGCTTCTCTTCTCTGCCTTGGAAACTTTCAATTCTATCAAGATCGTCTCTTGTAGCTGCCGCGGGCATCTTTGTCGTCGTGGTATTGACTCTCGCTCTCCTCCTCTTCCTCGTCGTCCACCTCTACTAGACGACAGCGCCGGGTGATTCTGTCAGCAGTAAATAGGCTACTTTTAAAATAATGTAACTCACGTTTGAATGCCTTTTGTTTGTGATCCGATGTGGATTCTGATCACCATATAAGGTAGAAATATTTATACGCGAGTAAAAGACTATATTGCACGCTAACCATTAACGTTACCATAGTAAACAAAATAAACGCTTGAAGATACGCATAGTAAAAAAAACATAGTGAACGTTTGAAGAAATCAGACCAATCATAAAGGTTATCACAATAATGTTTTTATTTTATCTGTCAGATAGCCTACGTCTCGTCTCTTTATACCGGACTATCATAAAATAAAGCACATTTTTTTTCCCGGGAGCTTCCTCTGTTTCTCTGACTGAAAATATCTGTAACGTTAGCCTACTGGGAGTCGAGAGAGTGCTAAAGCTCCTCAGGTCGTATTATTGGTGGCATATATTTGTAGAAATTATCATTCTTTTTAAATGTGATATATGTCCTGTTACTACCAAATAAACAGAAACAGACGCGATTGAAGTAAGTGTGTCCTATTTCTTTTGTGAAACCTAACGGTAATTTATTTCTGTGTGACTAATGTGCAATTTTGACATACATTAATTCATGATCAATGTATCGCCTTTTATTGTAGACCTGGTAAAACATCGATGCTTGGGTTTTAAATAGTCAAGTAAACAACAAAAATGCCAGCAAACGGTCGCTTTTATCATATTTGTTTTGCAATGCTGTTTCCATTTCTTTCTGATTAGTTTTCTGATAACACGGGCGTGTTTTATTGAAGCACCGCGGAGCTTCTGGCCTGACAGTGGAAACGTTCTTCTGATCCACTGCCTCTCTGTCCTCTCCCTCTACTGTTGAATCATCTGATGATGATGATGATGATGATGATATCTAATCTAACAATGCACGTACTTAAGAAAATATAACGAATAAATAAGCATAAATACTAATTACAATGGTTCATGTTTTTCACAGTCAGTAATTCATACTGTAAAGTTGCAGTTTGTTTGAAATAACAAACCTGTTCACCCAAAGGAAAACTCGACGAAGTGCTATTAGAAGACGTCCTGTCAATAGCTTTTTGGTACATAACGGCTACCGTAGATGCAATACACATTTGAAAAAGCGAGGCGCTGGAGAGCACAATTCGTTTGAATGCAAAATACAATTTCACCGCTAGATGGGAGTAATTCCTACACAATGTCCCTTTAAGCACTTTTTCCTTGAAAAAATATTCTTCATGGCTTAAAATATCTTGGATGTAACTCGACACCCTTGCCTCATTTAGTTTACGCGGTTCTATGAATATGCAAATGAGCCCCGCCTCCACTCACTCACTCACTCAGAGATCCACTGGTTGACGATCACACGTTGATCTGATTGGTTACAAGGTCGTTTGTGACGTCAGAAACACCAGCGATTTCAAACCGTGTTTTTGAGACTGTCTTTGGTTCACTGCAGTTTTAAGGAGAAAACACTCAGCAATGCTGTCGACTTATGAACTTACACATGGTGTGTCTTAAAGCGTATTAAAAACACCACATAGACACATAAACAACATTAAAAGCTGGATTTTCACCACAGGGGGACTTTAAAATCTTAGGGCGTACTTTAAATAAATATATTAGGTCAAAGATATTCAATTGACAAAATTGCATTGCATGTAATTATGAAATAACGTGAATTTGTCCATTTTAATGTGTCTGAAAGACAAAAGCCTTCCAAAGAATGTTATAAATGGCTGTTTTTTTATATTGTAAAATGTAATTTATTCCTGTGATCAAAGCTGAATTTTCAGCGTCATTACTCCAGTCTTCAGGGGCGGGACGGTGGCTCAGGGGTTTCGATTCGAGCCGCTCTGTGTGGCGTTTGCATGTTCTCCCCGTGTCAGCGCGGGGTTCCTCCAGGTGCTCCGGTCTCTCCCACACTACAGACACCAAAGACATGCAGGTTAGGTGGATTGGACATGCCAAATTGGCCATAGGAGTGTGTGTGAGTGTGTGTCAGGAAGGGCATCCGGCGTCAAACCTGGGCTGAATCCAGTGTTTGTGTGTGTGTGTGTGTGTGTGAGGAGGATAATTCCGATGAAGCAAATGTAAACTAAGTCTAGGAAACTATAGATTACTCCAGTCTTCAGTGTCACATGATCCTTCTATTTCTATTATGAAGAATTCTGTTATCTATCAATCTAATATGCTAATTTCAGATAATTATCAGTGAAAACAGTGAACATTTTGATACTTTGATTAATGGGAAGTTCCAAAGAACAGTATTTATTTGAAATAGAATTTATTAAAATAATCCTCGTTGAATGTACAGTCAAATCAAAGTTTATTCAGACACCTTCAACATTTCTCACATTATCACAGTTTATTCGCTATAGTTTAGAAAATGGTAATAAAATATGACAAGAACTCAGAGTTATCAGATCAGTGGATATTTCACTGGTTTTGTCCGTCCTTCTGTTAGACTCTCACACATGAATTATGTTGAATATCTGTCAGATGTTAAATTTAACTACACAATTACATAATACCAGTTTAGCTCAACCGATTAGCAAGCAATGCTTAATGTTGCTCAATCTGTGTGTAAAAAGGTCACATAAGCAAGTAAAGAAAAAAACACTTCAGCAAAACATGGTCTGAATCATTTTTGGTCCAAATTTTTTATTAATGTTACTGGTAGTCACTGTATGAAGAATTTCTGGGTATAATATGTCACAGTTTACTGTATTTTGCTCTCCTCACTTATATAAATGAACTATAGTGTCCTGCACACACTAGTAAAACACTATCAAAAATGATATCTGGTGTCTGAATAACGTTTGGTTTGACTGTACTTCTTTTAAAGAAGTGTTTGTGTGTGTGTTGTGCTCAGATCGAGGATCAGGTGGACCGCCAGCGAGCTCATGCTGTGTCCACGCTGGACCGACTGGCACGACAGGTCGCTGTGGAGAAACAGGAGAGGGCCGACAAGTGCAAAGCGTTCAAGGTTTGCCTCTTCTCTTTCCTTGAGGAACTGAAACAAATGCAGTTGTTATAACATCACTTGAGATTGAGTGAGCATATTATGTTTCTGTAGAAGCCACAACTTTCTACTTTCTCAAAGTACTTATTTGCATATTAATATATAAATGAATCTTTTAGAATAATCTGTAGGTATATTGTTTGGATTTATCAACAGGTATAAGTTTTCATTTATTAAATGTGTTAAATTAAAAAACACTAAGTTCGTTAGAAAAGAATGCAGTGAAATTAAAATATTTTAATATACAATTGAAATATATATATGTGTGTGTGTGTATGTGTGTGTGTGTATATATATATATATATATATATATATATATATACAGTCGTGACCAGAATTAATCATACCCCTGGTAAATATGATCAAAAATGGCTGTAAAAAATAAATCTGCATCGTTTATCCTTTTGATCTTTCATTAAAAAAATTGGCAAAATCCTAACCTTTCGTTTAAGTAGAAGAATTGAAAGTGGGGGGGAAACCACATTATAAAATAAATGTTTTTCTCCAAAACACGTTGGCCACAATTATTCATACCCTTTTATTAAATACCTTTTTGCAATCTCCATTTGCCAAGATAACAGCTGTGAGTTTTCTCCTATAATGCCTGATGAGTTTGGAGAACACCTGACAAGAGATCAGAGACCATTCCTCCATACAGAACCTCTCCAGATCCTTCAGATTCCCAGATCCATGTTGGTGCTTCTTCTCTTCAGTTCAGCCACTCATCAGGTCAGGGACTGGGACGGTCATGGCAGAAGCTTCATTTTGTGCTCCCTAACACATTTTTGTATTGATTTTGATGTTTGTTTTGGATGGTTGTCCTGATGGAAGATCCAACCACGACCCATTATAAGATTTATAGCAGAAGGCGTCAGGTTTTGATTTTTTATCTGTTGATATTTGATAGAATCCACAATGCTATGTATCTGAATAAGAAGTCCAGGACCTCCAGCAGAAAAATAGGCCCACAACATTAAAGATACAATGGTATATTAAATTGTACACATGGGGTACTCTTTATCCTTGTGTGCACCAAACCCATCTAGTGTGTTTACTGCCAAAAAGCTCTTTTTTTAGTTTCATCTGACCACAGAAGCCTGTGTCATTTGAAGTTCCAGTCGTGTCTGACAACTGAATATGCTGGAGTTTGTTTTTGGATGAGCGAGGAGCATTTTTCTTGAAAACCTCCCAAACAACATGTGGTGATGTAGGGGTTGTTTGAATTTTTTTTTTATAGGCTTTCTGACCCCAAGACTCAAGTAATCTCTGCAATTCTCCATCTGTGATCCTTGGAGAGTCTTTGGCCACTCAAACCATCCTCCTCACTGTCCATTAAGGCAATATAGACACACGTCCTCTTCCTGGCAGAATCGTAACATCTTTAGTTGATTATAACTTCTTAATTATTGCCCTGATGGTCAAAATGGGGATTTTCAATTCTTTAGCTATTTTCTTACATCCACTTTCTATTTTGTGAAGCTCAACAATCTTTTGATGCACATCAGAACTATATTCTTTGGTGTTTTATTCATTGTGATGAATTATTAAGGGGATTTGGCCTTTGTGTTTCCTCATTTTTAAATTCCTGTGAAACAAGAAGTCATGGCTGGACAATGTCATGTTCCTAGTCACCCTGGTGTGCTAAAAAAGGTAAATATTAATGGGAATATACTTCAGAGATATTTTATTCATAAAAAATTATAGGGGTTTGAATAATTGTGGCCAACGTGTTTTGGAGAAAAACATTTATTTTATAATGTGATTTTCCCCCCATTTTCAATTCTTCTACTTAAACGAAAGGTTAGATTTTTGCCAATTTTTTGAATGAAAGATCAAAAGGATAAACGATGCAGATTTATTTTTTACAGCCATTTTTGATCATATTTACCAGGGGTATGATTAATTCTGGGCACGACTGTATATATTAGGGCTGTTAGTTAAACGCGTTATTAACGGCGTTAACACAAAGCCATTTTAACGGCGTCAATTTTTTTATTGCGTGATTAGCGGTCTTTTTGGCCTAGCAAACTTTGTAGTTTTTTTCACATGCTTTTGCGACAGGACGTGGCGCTGCGCTATGAAACCCATTCATTTCAATGGCTTGCGCCGCGCGAGGACGTTTTGTTGCTTCATCGACCAAAGCGCACGCGGATCTAGCTAGACCGGAAACAACAACAGGCACGCCGCACACACTTTTTTGTGTGCCGGCCAAATAGTAGGTTAACGTTACGTTTTGAGTGGATGACGAGCGCGAGACGCCGAAATGGACGCCAATTAGATTCTGAATGGAAAGTTTACTTTTAAAAAGTTGCCAAATGGTTCCATTGACGAGACCAAAGCGATCTGTGTGTTTTGTCGTTGTGAACTGAGCTATCATCATCGCAGCACGTCCAGTCTGAAAACCACTGGATGATGGCCAAGCACACACACACACACACACACACACAATGTTAGTGTGAAATTGAACACAGTGTATGTCAATGTTGGTTTCAATAAAAAAAGATTTGCACAAAGCAAGCCGATCCACTTTTCCATGTTGATAAGAGCATTACAATGAAAAAAAAAAAAAAGGACAAAAAGAAATCAAGAGACATTTAGAATAGATAAAAATGTGCGATGAATTCCGATTAATCGCGACTTAACTATGACATTAATGCGATTAATCGCGAGTTAACTATGACATTAATGCGATTAATCGCGAGTTAACTATGACATTAATGCGATTAATCGCGAGTTAACTATGACATTAATGCGATTAATCACGAGTTAACTATGACATTAATGCGATTAATCACGAGTTAACTATGACATTAATGCGATTAATCACGAGTTAACTATGCCATTAATGCGATTAATTGCGATTAAATATTTTAATCGTTTGACAGCACTAATATATATATATATATATATAAGGGCTGTCAAATGATTAATCATGATTAATCACATCCAAAGTAAAAGTTTGTGTTTACATAATATATGTGGGTGCACTGTGTATAATTATTTTATATATATAAATACACACACATGCTTGTATATATTTAAGAAATATTTTCATGTATATACTGTATATAGATTTTTATATAATTTTTATTATATATAAATATAAATATTTTATATATAAATAATATTTTTTTCTTAAATATACATGCATGTGTGTGTATTTATATACATACAAAATAATTATACACAGTGCACCCACATATATTATGTAAACACAAACTTTTATTTTGGATGCGATTTATCATTTGACAGCCCTAATATATATATATATATGTGTGTGTGTGTGTGTGTATATATATATATATATATATATATATGTATGTGTGTGTATATATATAATTTTATATTTTACCGTCATTGTTTTCTGATTATTTAATTTGCAATGCTTCATGGGAGGAGTAGAACCCTTTTCACCTTGAACCCTTTGTTGTTGCTATAAATCAGTTTATAATGTTGTGATTCTTGTCAGAGCAGGTTAGTTTGGTTTATTTCTTCGAAATCAAGCTTTGAATAATTATATTTAATGCCTGTGAAGACGGTGAATTGTGAAAAATATTTATTTAAGAGGATTGTGTAATTTTTCCCCCCTGAATATTCAATGTTCAAGGTTAACGTGTAGCCATATGTGATTTAAATGTTTAACGGTGTTCATTTTTGAAACTTTAATGCACTTATTCAGTAATGCCATTAAAACGTTTAAATTCTGTTCTGAGTGATTTCTGAAAAGTTTATTTCTTTATTTGATCAGGGACAATGCACAAAAAAACATTAGTCTAAAAAAGAAGAGATGTCATGTGCCAGGTTATAGCAAAAAATGCTAATTTCCACCCGCTGTCCCTGGACAGGTTGATGTTATACTTACAAAAATTCATAAAATATATACAAACTAATACATGAAAGCATTACTTCACTCGCATCATAAAAAAAACACTCTTATTGTTATGGCAAAAAGTGACTTATGAATGATACATTTATCAATCAAAACCAGGTTGAAAAGGGTGAAATCTTTAACAAAACCAAATTGCATCGTTTGCATCATTTTCAAATACTTCTTTGCCTCAAATTAAAGTTTGTAATATAAAGTAAAAAAATTATACATCTATTTGTTTTGAGCCGCCAGGCACTGTTTTGTGCGAATGAGCGGCCGGATCGCATTAAAGGGATAGTTCACTTTGAAATTAATTTTTGGTATGGTTTAGCTTACCTCAAGGGCATCCAAGATGTAGGTGTCTTTGTTTCCGCAGTAGTAGGGCTGGGCGATAAAACGATAACGATATGTATCGCGATAGACACGTGATCGATATCAATAAAAAATGTGTTCGATAAAACGTTCGATATTTTTTTCTTCGTCGGAAGAAACCACAGGTTGCGAAGCTTGGTTGCATTATCAAGGCACTCGCTCTCTGGTAACCTAGCAACGTAGGGAGTGACACGCTCAGGCAATCATGTAACGTGTCAGTTTGGTTGCGCCATCGTTGTCTCGTGCTGCTGGGTTCCTCTTCAGTAACCGGCGATTGATAAGCAGAAAATGAGTGTCCTTCATCTGCATGCCATGCAGGCTAGAATTGCGAAACATTATTGGATAATTCGCTTTATTCGCGTTTGATGAGAACACAGCATAATGAACAGGCTGCGATGTCAAGATTGCAATGCTGGAGTGTGTGTGTGTGTGTGTGTGTGTGTGTGTGTGTGTGTGTGTGTCTCGCGCGAGAGAGAGAGAGAGAGTAGGCACGGGCGCGAGAGAGAGAGACACGCGGGCGCGATCGAACAGTGGAGACATAAAAACATACTCCGTCATTTTGTTAATACAGGACATCATTCAGTCTGCAAAGTGTTTACTTATATTTGTGTAGGCCTATACTCGCAATAAAACACAACATTGTGCTTTTGTCACACTGTATTTCTTGTCAAACTGTAACCTACAACTGTCACACACCGTTTTAAAAGCAAAACATATTTATCCA